AGGTAAGCCAGTCTCTCATGCAACAACGGCATACAAACATATGTATGTATGTATGTGCATATATTTTGTAATTTCATGTGTTTGTGTATGTGTATGTGTACTACTCGTGAAGTGCATTAATTTATATCTATGCTTTTGTAGCTTTTTTTTTTAACTCTACATACATACATATGTAAGTCGGAGGCTGCATTGTAAATAATAGCACACGATTAAAGTATAGTAATCTTATGATAGAATTTATAGACTAAACCAACAGAGTGTAAAACCTTCATATTGTTTTACTCAAACTAATTTTCAGTTAGTAGAAATGTGTATAAAAATTTGATATTGAGAACATTGAAAAACAAAAAAAAAAAAAATAATAATATTAAGAGGAAACAGGGAGGCATATTTCTTCATATTTTTTAAATACTGATTTTTTATACAGTTCTAGATGTTAATTTTAAGAAATTGATTTTGACGTTTTTCGACTAAAGAAGAGACAACTCGCAGAAATGGCGTGATAATTAGCGGGAGGGATTAAAAAATTTATCACCGATGATGAAGTCAATGAGGCAGTTTCAGCGTATTTTTAAGATTTTTTTTTTGTGAGAGTTTACATTAATTAATTGAAAGATTTGAAAAATGTGTCCGTCTTGCCGGTGAATACATTGAAAAACTAATTTGGTTTTTTACTTTCCACAACTTATATCCCAATCTAAGACATAAAAACGCTTCGATTAATTATTATTTTTTAAACCAAATTTTCAAGAACTAAAGTTGAAAAATATTATTAATTTTAAAAAATATTACTAATTTCATTAAGAGAAAAAAATCTTGAAATTTCACATTTTTTCCAACCCTTTAAGATTTTTGAGTGGTAAAAATTGTAAGCTATTAGTTCAAGTTTGGTTACTTAAGTGTAAAGGATTCAACTTTTGTATACAACGAGATATTTTTCGTAGATCAAGCGGAAGACTGGAATAGTGCAACGCGTTCTTTTGAAGTTATACTCTCGTATGTATGTACATACATGTTTAGACGAAAAAAGAAAAATAACAAAAATTAAAAAAATATAATAAATTCGTTATGTATGAATAGAAAAATTAAAAAATATATAATATATTTATTATGTATTAATTTAAAAATTGGCTAATTATTAGTCTAAGAGACTTTTCTCCCAAACATTACTAGAAACGTTAAACTAATTAAAAAATTTTATCAGCAAATTATTTATAATAATAACAAAGTGTCATACATATGTACATACATACATACATAGCAGTTATGAAATTGAAATAAACTGACAATAAAGCGCACAATTATGAAAGGCTAATAAATTGATTTGCAACCTAAATTAGTTCTGTAGATATACATAAATATAAATATATATATATCAGAAATTAAACACATACATATATGTACATATGTATGTATACGTTAATATAAATAAATAAATGCTTGCAACTGATCAATTTATGAGATAAACAAAAGATTATCAGCCAACTAATTTTGCTTATGAATACTTTGTGGGCGTAAGAACTCATATACATACATAAATATATGTATACGTATATGTAAAATATAAAATTATATATGAAATATTTACAATATTTATGAACTCACATAACCTACAAATTGATTGACTTTTCTATTCAAGAAAAAAAATATTGATAAAAATTATTTAGTATGCTGATAACACGTCATTATAGACAAAGAATATATATGTATAAAATGTCAAAATATCGTTATGATTGAAAGGCTGATTATGAAAACAGCTAATTAAATGACCACCAACCAGCCAACCAACAAGTGGTGGGTGAAACAGATGCACTGTGACGTACTCGTACACGCCAATGCAAAAGTTATCGCGGTGAGAAATAGGAAAAAACACATACATACATACATACATACATATATGTATATATATATTTATATTATATATATGTATATATATAGAAAACACAATGCAAATAGCTAAAACAAAATAGATTAAATGATAAAAGTGAGCAACAAACGCAATTTGGGCGTAGCGAAGAAAAGGGGAAAAAAGCAGAAAAAATAGTTTTGAATGTATTGAGAAGCTATGTTATGTTGAGATGAGAGCAAAAGCTCAGCTGATTGTCAAAGAACTGAGATAAAATGTTTGTATGTACATATGACTTAAGGCAGATAAGATGAGCGTGAGCGTTAATACTAGAAAAATTAAATCAAACAAAAATAATTGCGAATATGCATATGTGAGAAGAATAAAGAAATTTACGATGTTCATACATACATATATGTATATGCACGTCAAGTGTTTGCTGTGATTTTTTTTCTACATTTTTTACATTTGTTTGCGGCTCTCTTTTTTTAATTTTAGTGTAATATTTTTAAAATGAAAGCAGCAACTGCACGAGCCAATGATGAAGAACACAAAGTTATATACGTACATTAAACTTGTGTATGTGTATACTTATACACATACATACATATACATATATTCATTTGCGCTATCCGCGAGAACACATGATTCTTAAGCGATGCGATACATGTGCATTACGTCAAACCATTAGTATTGAAATTTTCATTTAACGGTTATGTAGTTAATAGCAAACACGAAATTTATGCAAACAAGTCATAGATACTTTTTAGATTATAACTATTGTATTATTGGGCATTGATTTAATTTAATAATAATTTTCTTTTATCATTATTTTTTATGATCAATTGTTGCTATAATTTGCAATATGTATTTAATTTATTTTTTTCTAACTACAAACAACAATTATTGTACTTGCCATTGATTTCATCATCATCATATTCTTACGTACATTTATTCGTACATCATCATCGCGCAGTCAACTCGAATTCTTCTTCTTCTTTATGTCTATATGTTTCTGGAAATTTTATATTCGTAGTGTGTGTATCTGTGTGTCTGTGTGTGTGAGTTGGTCTAGGTGTTAGTGAGTCAAAATTTTCAGCTGATTGCGATTTTCTGTGATCTCGCGCTTCAACAACCGACTGACGGACTGACTCTGCTGCTGCTCCGGCTCGCTCGTTGTGGCCCGCTAGTTAGGCCGTGTCGTCGTATCGCTGTATGCAGCAGGTATGTTGCTATTGTTGTTATTTGGCCTAAAAACGTTGTGTGGCGGTTGTTGATACGAGAAGATGATGATGTCGTCGTAGTATTGTATATTTATATATATATATTTTTAATTTTATTTAGTCGAGATTCGTCGTTTTATTCGTTTTCTTGTCGTAGATTTTCGTGGTTGAATAATTGAGTTTGATTTTTGTATTTTTTTTTTTCAAAAAATTTCTTTTGTAAAACTTTTTCTTCTAATAATTATAATCGCGGTTGATTGTAGCATTTAAAAAAAAAAAAAATATTTTTATTATGCAATTTTTTTTCGGTTGTGATTTATAAAAATCCGTAGTGAAATTTTATGCACTTTTTATATATATTTTTTTATCATATAATTTTTTAATCATTTCTTATTATATTACACTTATTATTATTATTATTTTTTGATTATTTTTTTTATAATTTTCTTTTAACTTTTTTATTTTTTTATTAATATATTACGGCATTTTAGTATATTGTTCAACATTTATTTAGAAAAGTAAATAATTTGTGCGATTTTTTTCTCAAATTATTTCTTTTTTATTTAATATATTATATTTATTATTATTTATTATTATTTATTATTTTAGTTTAATTTGAATGGAAAAAGCAATTAATTAAAATAATTACTATATATATAATAAGCTTTGAATAAAAAATTTAAATAGTTTTTTTTTATAAAGAAAATTAATGATTTTTTAATATTTTAAAACTTTAATCAATATTTTTTTAAATTTGTATTCAATTTAATTTATATCACTGACTATTACTTTTTACTTTGTAGATATTTTTTATGATTATTTTCTTTACTTCTTGTAATTGTTATTTGTAGTTTAATTTTTTTTTAATTCGTAAATGTTTTAAAATTTTAATCATATTTTCAATAACCAAGAGCTACTGAATTGTCGATGTCTTTTATTATTAAAAAAAAAAAAACATTAAAAATTTTAATCAAAATTTTAGTTTTTTTTTTTTAGTGAAAATGAAATGTATGCTTTTATTTCTTGTTTGTGTTATTAAATATTGTAAAAGTATTTAAAATTTTATGACTTTGTTAATAAAAAAAATTTTAATTTGTAACCGAAATTTTAGTTTTTTTAGGTTAAGTGAATTTTTATATATTATATATTTATTTGTAAATTATTATTTTTTTATTTTATTAAATTTTTTTATTTCATATTTAAATTTTCGTATTTATTTAAATATATTTAGTAATTTAATGTTTTTTAGTATTTAATATTTTTTAATTTATATTTTTTTTAATAATTGACGTATTTTTTAATTTTTATATTTTTTTTAATAATTTAGATATTTTTATTAAATTTAGTAATTTATTTTTTTTTTTTGATTTTTACTACTTTATTATTATTTCAATAATTTTTTTTTTTTTTAGAATTTTTTAAATTAGATTTCTTTTTATTTTCGAATACTTACATACTTCTATTTAGATATTTTTTTCACGCATTCTTCTTAATTCTCATTCATTTATTTAATTAACACTTCCGTTTCATGCGCATACTTTTACCTTTTCATATATTACTTTTTTCGATTTTATTTTGTATTATTTATTTGTATTTGACGTTTTGTGTTTGCTGCTCTTTATAGCTTTTTCGCCGATTTTCCGCTTCGATTCTTCAATGCTACTATTTTTACATCAACAACCACGCGTAGTTGTATGTATGTATAGTTGCCGTCGCGTTTTTCTTCTAATTTATTGATTTTCAAATATTAATTTAATTTAATTTTTTTTTTGCATTATTAATTAGTAAATTGTTACAGGGTTAGTGGTTATATTTAGTTTGGTGAAAGAAAAATAGAAAAATTATGAAAATTAAGAAATAATTTAAGCTTTTTGTCTAACTACAAGAGATATCACAGCAGAGGCAAAAAGAAATTAGAAATGATATCACACCTTTCACAAGCACGCTACACTAGTGCAGAGATACACGAACCGTAGCAGAGAACGCTCCCAAAGTGACTATCCGCCAGAAATTGAAATTCAACAAGCGAGCAAATTTTGCGCTCTTACACTTCCGTAAGTATTTATATTTTTATGTTTTTACTTTGTCTATTTTCTACACGCCAAACCTTTTTATGTTTGTTCTAAGCTTTTATTCTTTGCTATCTTTCGAGTGTTTTTTTATATGTCTCACTTTATTTTATTTCATACGAAGCTTATCGTCCATATACCAATATTGGCGCACAAATATTTTTATAAACATATATGTTTGTACATATGTATGCAAATTGTATAGATACGATGAACAGACGCACACTGTAATACTGAAAAATCACATTGCCATACACTGATGGCGAAAATCAAATGCTGAAGCAAAAGTCAAATTACGAAAATAAACAAATGCCGAACGAAAAAAAAAACGCAAAGTTCTTTAATATAACGCGATTAGTAAATATGTTGATGCACTTGTTAAGCAGCTTGTTTTCGAGTTTTTATCACTCGTTAACGGTGACGACAATGCAAACGCAAACGCGAACGCGTGTTTCTATCAACGCCGTTTCGCCGACTGACTATACGCTGACAGCACGATGACTGCGTTTAGGCGAAAATATGCAAACTTCGATAAAATTCAAAACACAAATAGAGTATAAAAAGAACACTTTGACAAAATGTAAACCGTACACCGCGCTACCGCTGAGATCTATCAGAGGACTAACAGACACTGAAGCAAAATCCGTGCGGGGTACTGGCTTTTATCTGTGCGGTGGCGGGGCAGCGATGTTTCGGCGGCAGCAGAGCAGGAAATAGAAATATATGTATTTTTTGCTGTTGCAGCGCCAGCGCCAGCGCCAGCGCCATATGCCACAAATTATCAACAAATGCACTGCTTGTAAACTGCGCTAACGTTGCTCGTACTCACTCACACACGTGTAAGGAAATGCATGCATGCTTTTCGCGCGCGCGCGCGCTCTCTCGCCCTGACACTCTAACATAGTTACATATGCATGTGTTTAGATATTTATGTAGGCCCGATGCACCTACTCGCCAAATGTTCTAGCCATCAACGAGTAATGACCCTGTAGGGAGCAGATAGACTGGTATGAGAAAATTCTAGTTAAATACAAGCGCTTTGAAAAGGATATCAAACAAATTGGTTATCTCTTAATATCAGTCCACATATAACGGGAATAATAATAATTTCGACGGCTGAATTCCATCCGTAAGAGCCGACCAAAATTCAAAAGCCCCCGCGACCGCCGATTCCTTATACCGGAATGACCTTGACTTTCAACCGGCCAAGGACTGGTAGTAGCATAAGATTCCCCAAAAACTACTACTTTGGAAGAGGACAACGAAATTTCATCGGCACGATAGTCGAGTGGTGAGAAATTATCGATGTAGCGCTTTAGGTTCACGACTCGAATCTCGCTTTGGCGGCAAACTATTTTTTTTTAAATTTATTTTTTATTTAGAAGAAATTTTTATTAGAAATTTCGGATTTTTTTTGGTGAAGCAGAAATTAAACATGCATAACTGAACTGGTATGCAAACTAGTATGAAGCTGATGTATAGTTGACACCGCCGTGTTAAAAATACTAGTTGCTTACATTGAAAATAGATGGAAGATGAACTAATTAGAGCAAAATTGCAACCAGTTCTAGTTCTAGTTAACAACTAGTAGTTTTCCCTGCAGGGACGGTGTATACTATGGCCAAAACCAAACACTCGGGTGTGTGTGTGTGTGTGTTTGTGAGTAGGCGCATACCCGTGCACCTTCGGCCTTTCTCTGCATCCTCGTAATTTCGCATGCATGTTTTCTGCATTGGCATTGGCAAAAAACGTTAAATGGGAGTCAGCTACATACATACATACATAGATATGTAATCTATGTATATATATGTATTTTATGCACTCGCGTTATCACATAACGCTGCACGAAGACGACATACGATTATGTTAACGAAATTTACTCGTGTCTCTGTTTGTGAATTCTTCCTTGCTACGATATCCTTTTAAACGCTGTAATGCAATCGCTGCGATATATCCGGCGCACGCAACGCGAGGACAAAAGGAGAAGGGGATATTGCATTCGGCACGAGCCAAAAATCACCGCCAAACGTTAGCTGCGCAGCGAGCAGCGCCGTTAACGACCGGTACAAAAACAAATGTATTGAGGTTGAACTACAAAAACGCAAATGCATGTAGGAGAGATTAAACAATGGAAAATATAAAAACTGCTTAAGAAGCTAAATGTTTGTATGTATGTATATAGCACTAAAAATTATAGGGGAATTAAGAGAAAAATGTGAAAATAAGAGTTTTGAAAGTATAAATACATATGTATTTGCATACATATGATACAAGGCAAAGGACATACACAAAAGATAATAACAACCACATGAGAATGCATACAAAATACATACAAACATACATACATACACACATACAAGCGGCAGATAGACGGTCAAGGTGGACAAATCTGCAAAACGGCGCGACAAACTAATTTCAATGCTGCTTATGTTTCCACTGGTCAGTTGTTGTTGTTGTTATTGAATTTCCTTGTCGCTTTCTTTTTTTTTTTTTGCTACACATTAGGTTGGTGTAAAAATCAAGCGGAGTTTCGGATTTTGCGATTTTCCGATCAAAATACATATGAGCAAAGCAATTTATGTTCAAGAAAAAGTAGTTTAAACTTCAAAAATAAATAATAATCTATTTTTCAAATTATTACAATGAATTAAAAAAAAAAAAATTTGAAAAACTATACCAAAACAATATTAAAAAAGAAATAAATATAAACAAACATTAGTAAAAAAATATAAAAAACATTAAAAGAGATAAAAAAATAATACTAAAAAAGATATAATCCTAAAAATACAAAACAAATACAATGAAAAAAAAAATAAAAAAAAAAAATAAAAAACATTACTAAAAAATATAAAAAAAATTTAAAAAAGATATAAAAAATACCAAAAAAAAAATTAAAAATAAAAAAGAAATCTTAAAAAAATATAAAAAACAATACCAAAAAAGATATCAAAAAACAATTCTAAAAAATATATTTAAAAAAAAAACAATACTAAAAAGTATAAAAAAAAATATTGAAAAAGAACCAAATATAAAAAATATTACTAAAAAAATATTAAAAAAAAAACTAAAAAAAGATATAAAAAACAATCCTAAAAAAATATATAAAATACAAAAAAAAAAAAATATAAAAACACAATACTAATAAAAATATTAAAATAATATTGAAAGGAAAAAAAATGTTTTCTTAAACCAATAGAATTAAAAAAAAAATATTAAAGAACAATTTTCTTCAATGCCATAAATTAAAAAAAAAAGATAATTTTTTCGAAAAAATCTTAATAATCTATTTATAATTGTAGTCTTGTAATAAAATTATATTAAAACAAGTCAGCAAGGAAAAATTCATGAGGAACCGTGCATGCTGGGATAAGTTCCACGTAGTCATGGCATTAAATCCTAGGGAATGTTTAAATTTTCTAAAAAATCTGTAATTATGTAAACACGTTCCTTTATTAAATTTATTTATTTTAATTATACAGAAATATCTTCACTGACCAAGAGTCGTATTGCATAGGTTAAGTCCATATAGCGGTAGGTTTATTGATGGACCTACATATGTATGTATATCAGCCATTTTTGATTTTTGATAGGGCTTTGGTCACCAGTTTCATTGACTAACGCTAGTCTTTAGAAATTTATTAATTAATTCTACATGGATTCACTCGGGGAGTGAAAGGTCTATTTTGAAACAAATTTTTTATATCAAAAATAGAATAAATTACAATATTCCTTCCAACACTTTACTGTTTAAAAAATGCACATTTGAAAATGAATTTGCATTTTTTTTAAGTTTTACTCATTAACTACTCTATTTCGACGTCATCTCTAGTGGCTCCCCGAAATAAGGTGCATCTGCGTTGTCAGTAGACAAGATCAACCGAAATAAAGACAAAAATCGCGTTAATACCGTAAAATAGAATTTGGACGAAGCAAATTAAAAATCAGTGAAAATTGATTTTCGGCAGACCCTTTTACAAAAAGAAAAAAAAAAAAATTAAATAAACTCTCTTTCGTTCAATTTCGCCTGAAATGTGTGTCGTAGACTTGTATAAAGTTTCATCAAGATCGTTTGAATAGTTTACGAGAACTTTTGACAAGCGACTTTGAAAACAATGTTTCCAGAAACACGACTTCAATGTTCAAAGCGTTGAGCCCACCTGTCAGGCTTATATCTCAGAAAATTTTATTCGGATCGACTTGCAAGTTTATGATATTCTCGAGATGTAGAAACCCAGGTAAATGAAGCAGATCGCTTAAAGTTTTTTTTTTTTATAAATGCTCTGTTCTGAGGGATTGGAAAGAGTTGGAATTAATTAAAAATACATGTATTTTTTCAAAAACTGCGCAAGTCTGAAATGAGTTTCAATAATTTATTTAAATTTTGAACCATCACAACGGTTAGGTAAAAATCTATTTACGGATCTTTGACGGCATGAGTTTAACTGATATTAATTAACAGTATACTGGAAATATTCTTCTAATCATTGCCTTCGTTAATGCTTCATTCTCATGAGACAGATGAAAGTATCACCAATAATACTCAATCATCAAACAAAACTAAAAAGAAATAAGAGAAACTTGAGACCCAACAGGGTTATTCACTACAATAAGAGGTGATCTTTCTACTTCATTTTCGTTTCAGAGGATCAGATTTTGCGAATATCTTTGTTTTTACTAACAGGCAGTCAATTTCAATTGTGAACTAATTAAGTTTAATAATAGTAAGGGAAACACTTCCTTGTGTATAGTACAAGTATCCTTTATCTTTTTGGTACTCGCCCACTTTCCTTCGCTCAATGACTTACGCTAGGCATGTATTCTATATCAATAGAAATAATCAACAAGATCATAATTATTTAAATTTTCTTTACTTTTCGTGCAATTACAATTATTGTTTGAATAGATTGCCTTTTGGCTAAAGGTAAATTGGAAACTTGTTTTCACTCGCGGTCACTTTTCAACTTGCATCTCGCAAAGCATAAATTCTAAAAGTTCCCACAATATTATATTATAAATTATTATTATGTAATGTGCACCACTACCATTCGGAACATCCAAGTGATATAGAAAATTAATTTAAATAAAAAATTAAGCTTAATTTTCTAATTGCGGTCGCCCCTCAGCAGGGAATTTCAAACCCTCCGAGTGTATTTCTGACATCAAATAAAGCTTCTCTTAAAAAATCATCAGCCGTTCGGAAGCGGCTTAGTATAAACTGTAGTTCCCCCCAATTGTTGGAAAAACATTACGACGCAAAACCACAAATTGGGGGAGGGGCTCGGCCGGAAATAGCTTCAGCGGCTCTAAAGCGTCAATTATATATAGTGTACCAGATATTTGGACAAAAAAAAAAAACGAATTGGAAATTCTCAAGGTTACTGGAATAGAAGATTAGGACAGCCGTTAACGTCATAAAGTCAACTTCGGTGAGACTTGATATTTTTTATTTAAATAAATACATAAAAAAATGTAAAAAAATATAGAATTTTTCGAAATCTTGTAGATACTAAAACTTCAAGTTTTCAAACCAAATATACAGGTTTTTCAATAAGAGGTGATACTTTGATATTCAAAGAAATATTGCATTTTATTTAAATAAATGATCGAAAGTTTATTTCAGTGTAAAGAAAAAGATATGACATTAATAATGGAA